ATATTTATACGAAACCAAACCAAACCGCCCCGGCCCTGCGTAAATCTTAAACTGAAAACCAAAAACATAAAAGGAGAAAAAGTTGCACCTTTCGTTTGTTCTGTAAGGTTGAGTGAGTGAACGCCAGAGAGGGAAAATACTAGTCGGGGAGGGGAGAACTGGAGAAGAGAGCCTTGAATTGGGGAAAATTGCCAGCTGTGGGGAGAATTGGGGGAAACGACTAACAAGCTAAGGATTGGCAAAACTGGGCCACTGGGGGAAAGGGAAAAGGAAAAGGAAAAGGAAAAGGAAGAGGGCTTGGGCTTTCAAAATTTTAAAAGTCTTGGGCTTGGGTTGGGTGGGCTTTTTTTTAAGCAAAAAATTAAGGGCCCAGTGGGGACAACTGCCCCCACTGGGCCTTTCATAAGTCTGCCCCTGCACTGGATAGTGGTTGCTGCGAAGCATGTGATTTATTCTCTTTGCTTATTTAAGCACGACATAATCTAACAAGATTATGGAAATATCTAAATTCGTTCAGCTAAAAAAGTTAATAAAAATTTAAATTAAAGTCAACAATAAATTATAATTATACATTCAATGAGACATACAACTTTTATCAATTTTTAAACAACACATTTCATTAACTTATATCAGAATCTACTAAAAATCTTATTTTTGGCTAAACCAAATAGGGGCTAAGGTAATTGATCTTATGGTGTGTTTGATGGGATTTATTTTTTATGAAAAATGTCGTTTTTCCATCCCATTTCTTACTTTTAGGGTACTTGATTGGCATTTTTGTGATCGTGTTTTCCTCAAAAACAAGGAAAACATTTTCTGTGGGGAATAAGTTTTTATTTTCTAGGCAATCCACACTTTCCAAAATTCAACTTTTTGAAAAAGTACAACATTTTCTAGGTTGAAAATTAAGCCAATCAAATACACTTAATTGAAAATTTTCATGCAAATTAGCTTTAAGTAATTCGATTGTCTAGAACTTATTATTAATTTTTTCATACAAGTTCCATGCTTGTAATTAAACACACTCTAAGTTTGGTTGACTTTAGTTTCCATAAAAAATATCATTTTTCACAGAAGTTCCTACTTTTAGGGTGTTTGATTGACCTTTTTTCTATGGAAAATATTTTCCAAAAGTTGGTCACGTGATCATGTTTTCTCTAAAAAAAGAAGTATTTTCTTCATGGGGGTAGTTTTTATTTCAATTCAGCTATTTGTACACTTTTGTTGACACATGGGTGACGTGACTAGATTGTGATGGTTGGATTAAATGTGTGAGAAATAAAATATGGTGTGAGATTGTGCCCTTGTTTGCCCCCCATTATATCTCATTACATTACATTAAATTTTTCTCTCTTCATCTTAACTATACATTCATCAAATAAAATAATAATACACACAAATCTAAAACTTTTCAACCACACATCTCCCATCAATCACTATTCTAAAAATTTTCAACCCCCTAAAAATCTACAATAATGGGGGCCAAACAGGGGCAAAATTGATATNACTTAGCCCCCGTTTGAACCTCATTAAATTAAATTTCATTACATTAATTTTTTCTCTCTCTTCATTTCAACCACACATTCATCAAATAAAATAATATTACACACAAATCTAAAACTTTTCAACCACATATCTCCCATCAATCACTATTCTAAAAATTTTCAACCCCCTAAAAATCTACAATAATGGGGGCCAAACAGGGGCTGTGTCAAGTGTAAATTCGGTAAGTTAGGGTGTAAATTATGTGTACATATAACATTATTGTTTTTATTTTCTAGGCAATTCACACGTCTCAAAAACTCAACTTTATGAAAAAGCACAACATTTTCTAGGTTGAAAATGAAGCTAATAGAACACATATATTGATAATTTCTATACAAATAAGTTTTAAGCAATTAGATTGGCTAGACTTATTTTCTTTCTATAAAAGTTCCATACTTGCAATCAAACACACCTTTATTTCCTAATAAATTTGTGCTACGACCTAATAATGATAAATTCCTACATTAGTGAAGTGTTCGCTATCTACGGCGCAATATTGCAAGCGCACGAGCCATGAATGAGTAATAAAGGGATGCGTAGCGTCTATCCCACGAGAATTGGTCTACTCGTGCGTAAGTAATTTAATTCTAGTTTGATTAAATTGCATGTGACAAGCACAAATTGGTTGGATAGTTTTAATTCACTATTTAATTGAAAGACGGTTAGAAAAATGAAAGAAA